GCTGCTAACCAAAAGGTTGACGGTTTGAATCCACCAGCTGCTCCTTGGAAACCCTATGGGGCAGTTCTTCTCTATCCTATTGGGTCGGTATGAGTCAGAATCGACTCGTTGGCAATAGTTTTTTTAAAAAATTTTTTTTACAGTAGGAGTGAGTGGGGGCGGGAGAAGAAGTAGAGATGAGAGTGAGTTACTGTTACATGATAAACTTCTTTATAAAGTAAATAGGTTGTATTTCATTCTGTGGCTTGAATACATTTTTGGCTGTCTCACAGAGAAAGAAAAGGAATAACTAGTATTTGTTGAACATCTATTTGTCATATGCTACTGCTCTTTAATTCTTAACACCTTGAGGTTGGGATGATTATCTCCAGTTTACAAAGAAGGTAGCTGAGGCTCAGCGTTGTAAGGTTACCTGTCTGGAGTCACTCCACTAGTATTTGATTTAGCTGGAGTTAAAATCCACCCCTGTCTAATACCAAATCCCATATTTTCTAGTAGCATCTAATAATGTTGCTGCCCTTGAAAGTGTTTGTGTCCCTGGATTGAGGTGATAGGCTTTGACAGAGGTCATCTCAGTGAAGACAGGACAAATCACTCTCCTGCATTTCTTCTGTCTCTAAGGATCACATTGGTAGAGGTCACTCTCACCATGGCCTTAGCTGGAGGGACAGTGGCTCAGAAGAGAGGTCCTAGCTGGACTTCCCCATTCCAACCTGGAAGCTGAGCAGTTATCTGTTTGATCTGTGTGTCACTGGGAAGTAGCCCATGCCTTTGTTCCCTTTTCTCATAGCTGAATGTGGAACAAAGAACAAAGCAAGGTTTGAGGAAGCTGGGTATAGCCTTTTTCTGTCGGAAGGGCATCTTTTATGCTTGGAGAATTGTTTAAGAGCTGAGCTCATGGTAGGCGGCCAGGGAAGCAAGCACCGTTGCATATCTCTCCCAAAGCACATTCCATGCTATCCTTGGTTTGTCTCTCACAAGCTTATGGGCCCCTCGAGGGGAGGCCCCTTATCGATTGCTGTTTGCACTCCCAGAGCCTGACAAGGAGCATGGTACTGGTAAGTGATTGTGGCATAAATGAGGACCTAAATGGGGCTTGATTCGTTTCATCATACCTTACAGAAGCAGCGTGGGATGATGGGACGCAGGAGTCGTGGGTCCCCTTCCAGCTCTATCCCTGATTTGCTATGAGGTTCTAAGCTCCCTAGGGAGGTGGGGCAGTGGTTAAGTGCATGGCTGCTAACCCAAAGGTCAGTAGTTGGAACCCCATCAGCCACACTCCGAGGGAAAAAAGACCTGACGATTTGCTCCCATAAAGATTACAGCCTTGGAAACCCTGTGGGTGCAGTTCATGAGTCGAAATCGACTCGATGGCACACAACAGTCACAACAACTAAGCTCCCTAGGACTTAGTTTCCTCGTCTTCAGAATGAGAAGCACGGACTTGACCTCTGGTCCATTCCAGCTTTGCGGTTCTCTGAAAGGTGTCACAGCGCCATAGCTATAGTTTGAATAATCTCAGATGTTTCATTATTAGGCTGGAGTTCAGGCTGTGGGGACATGTGAAACGGTTTGGGCAAATATGACGGGTACATTGAGTTCCCTTTTCTTGTACACATGAAGTAATAGATTCATTGGAATATGAGATCTTCCTCCACCCACTTCCGTCAATTCAGAGTGGATTTTTTTTTTTCTCCTTCCGTTTCTCCATCGTGTTTATCAGCTTTAAAGGGGAATTTTAAGTCAGGCAGTAGTCGAAAGGGCAGGTACAGAGCTCAGCTGACTAGAGGAGGAAAATTCCTTCATGAAATTTCAAATGAATGTGCCTGGATGGTTTCCCGAAAAATTTTGCTGAACTGTGGTTTGTTGGGGTTTCCTTAAGTGAAATGTTTTGCTTGGTTTGAAATATTAAAAATAGTATGTAGATTAAATTCAGAAAAGTTTCTGGATACTGACCTAACCAAGCAAAGTGGACTTCCTTCTTCTAGATATTTGCTCTTTATCTTAGGTACCAAAGCCTTGTGATGGGCTTAAACAATAATCAGCTGATGGAGTCTTCTTTGTTTCCTTAACTCCAAAACAATTTAGATTTAGCTAAACGAAAGCTTCCTGAAACGTTCTCAGTTAAACTATTTCAGAAGGTAACTTTCTATAGTAGGGACACTAGTCTGGCCTGGTTTCGTGGTGTAAGACCTCCTGCCACTTAATTAGCATTGGGACCATAGGCAAATCATTTAACCTTTGTCTGCCGCGGTTTCCTTAACTGCACCACGGGAGAATAAAGTAAAAAGTTATGTGTAAAGCATCAGTATTTTTTAAAAGCTCTCTGATGATTATAATGTGCAGCCAGGGTTGAGAACGACCCTGAAAGGTGTCACAGCGCCATCACTATAGTTTGAATAATCTCTGATGTTTCACTGTTAAGCTGAAGGTCAGGCTGTGGGGGACATGTGGAACCGTTTAGGCAGATACGAAGGGTGCTGTAAACCATGTTGCAACGTGCTGGGAGATGATGTTTTTATTCTGATACGTATTTTTGGTGAAGAAAGGAGACAGGAGCTAGTTTAGGTGCTAACATTTTTTATTTAGTATTTCTAAGCATCAGCCAGTTATCTCCATGCCTTACAAAAGTGTGGGTGGCTGTTTTGCAGTCAGTTTGCATTGCCTGCTGGGGTTGGGGAAATCCTGGGTTTGTGTGGAATTTTCCATGACTCTTAGCTCTGCACCATTTGTGCTCGCTGCAGTGACAGAGCTCTTCATTTTCTCTGCCTGAGCTAGCCTCCTCTTTCTTTTTTTATAGTATCAAATAAATGTTAAACCTCAACTTGTTATTTCGTGTCTGTGTTTAATACCCTAGTTCTAAGGACAAATCAGAATATCTCATCTGAATTAACTTTTTGTTTATAAGTGAGTCAGCTTGCGTTATCTATTTTGGCCTGATTTCCTCAGGTGTCATATTTCCTGTCACAAAACCACTTTTTTTTTTTTTTTTTGACGGGGGTAGGATACGCGGGCACCTTTTTTTCTGAAGGCACAAGCTTCTGATGTGGTGCTTGCTGATTCTCCAGTAATCTGTTCATCGGTGATCAGAATCAGCTTTTGAGTTTTTGATTAGAACAGTTATTTTAAAATGATAGCAAATGGTAGAAAAGAGGTCCAACCAGATAATTGCCTGGTTGGGTTTGGATAGTTCTCTTATATTAGATTCTTACAGGGGAATTTAAAATCCTAAAATTTTAGGAGACTATGATAGCAGTAGATCTCCTTTTCATTAGAAAGCAATTCCCTATATCCCATACAGAGAGGACAGCAGTATCAGATTATTTTACTAAAATTAATTCTCCCATTCAGTAGATGGGGGTTTGCCTTGTTTACTGTCTTCCTCCCCTCCCCACAAATTGAGGGCAGTTCTAATCAATTCATATATACTGAAGGTAGGGTGTATTCTGTTTCATTCAGGTCTCTAGTTAAGCGTTACCTCCTTGGAGAATCCTTTCCTGACCACTCTACTAAAGTAGTGCCCCTCCCCGCATCATTTGCTATTCCTTCACAGCACTTCCCATTACCTGACAGTATTATATTATGTAAGCTCTGTGAGGGTGGTGATGTTTCATCTTTTCCTTTGTGTCCTTGGGGCCCAGAACCTAGCAGGTACTCATTAAATATATGTTTAATAAGTAAAACACAGAATGGCTTGAATGGCCAGACATTTGCATACTGTCTTTCTTTTTGTTGTTAGTTTTGGCCTAGCTCCTTGGTTCTCAAATTTCAGTGGGCATATGAATTACTATAAACCAAAACCCGTTGCCGTCGAGTCAATTCCTACCCATAGCAACCCTAAAGGACAGAGTAGAACTGCCTGAAAGGTTTCCAAGGCTGTAAATCTTTATGGAAGCAGACGGCCACATCGTTCTCCTGCGGAGCAGCTGGTGTGTTCAAGCTGCCGACCTTTGGGTTAGCTGCCAAGTGCTTAACCACTGTGCAACTGGGGCTCCTACGAATTACTATATCAGGTATAAAACCAATTAGTTGAAACTTTTTGAGCAGTATACAAAAATTTGAGATCCCTAGATGGCACAAATGGTTTGGGCTTGACAGCTAACCTAAAGGTTGGCAATTCAAACTCACCCAGTGGTACCTCGGAAGAAAAGGCCCAATGGTCTGTTTCTATTAAGATTACAGCCAAGAAAACTATGGAGCAGTTCTACTTTGTAACATATGGGGATGCCATGAGTTGGAATTGACTCGATGGCAACTAACAATAACAACATAGAAAAATTTTAAAAATTCTTTTGCCTGTGTTATTTTTCATTTCTAACCCTAGGATAAAACCTGACACCATTGTACTTCCTCCATAATTTGTTCATAATACAGTCACAGTTATTTAGCTTCTGAAGTAAGCAGAAGACATTAAATGCCCATGTGGTTCAGCTCCATTGGAGTCCAAAAGATGTTACATGTTTTAGTGGTGATGGGATTAGAGAAGGAGCACTCAAATTTTATAGTCTATTTGGGAGATAATGGACTGATATGTAGCCTTTGCTGTACCAGTAAAGGTTGTGGGCCTTAGCATTTGGAGAATGGCTATTCTAATACCCATATTTCCTGAGCTTGGAAGTTATGATGATGATAAATTGAGATTATATAAAAACACTTTGTGGTAAAGACATCATATAAGTTCAGAATATCTTCAAGACTTGGAAAGGAGATTAAGGTAATGAGGGAAAAGAAAGAACTGTGATGAAGCATCACTGCATTTTGATGCTTGTAGATAAGTATCAAAGAAAGCAGGTGTGTTCTGTGGAATGTGTTGTTATAAGACATGCCCCCATCAGCACAGTGTGTTTTATGAACTTTAAGTGTATTGAAGGGGTTTGATCTGAGCAGAATAGATTTGACTTTGTTTTACTGAAGCGCTTTTTCCTTCCTAATTGAAAATGGTCATGTTCCAACATGATTTCACCACTTTTTGTTGTTGTTCTCCCCCATCATTCTTTTAGTTGGCTGATTGCAATTCTGGCCCAACTCAACCCTCTCTTTGGACCACAGCTGAAAAATGAAACCATCTGGTATCTCAAGTATCACTGGCCCTGAAGAAGACAGCCTGCTCCACAGTGCTGCCATTGAGGTGACTGCAATCTTGACCTTTCACGTTGGTTTTGTCAGTCAGTCAGCTAGAGTTTGTCTTGACTTTTTCTCAGAATTTTGCAGCCATTTTAACGTATGTCAAGGACAGGCTGCTGAAAGCACACATGATCTGAAGAGCAGAAAATAAATTTGGAATTTAGGCCAAGGGTTATCCGTGAGATTCTTTTTTTTGGTCGTTAATAGACTCTATCAAAAGAGTAAATAGACAACCTACAGACTGGGGAAAAATCTCTGGAAACAATTTATCCAGTAAGGGTCTGATCTCTAAAATCTTTTTATTTTTTCCCGTACAAAAATTTATACATACATTGTTATGTGACTTTAATTGCTCTCCCCATACTGTGACAGCACACTCCTCCTTTCCACCTCTGATTCCCCGTATCCATTCAGCCAGCTCTAACCCTGTCTGCCTTCCCATCTCACCTCCGGACAGAAGCTGCCTATTTAGTCTTTTGTATCTACTTGAGCTAAGAGGCACACTCCTCACGAGTATCACTTTATGTCCCACAGTCCAGTCCAATCCCTGTCTGAAGTGTTGGCCTCGGAAATTGTTTTAGTTCTGGGCTGATAGAGAATGCAGGGGCCATGCTTTCCGGGGTTCCTCCAGTCTCCATGAGATTCTTTTAAACACTGCTGTTACTCTGCCATTTAAAATAGTCTGATTTACCAAATTAAGTTTGCTCATATGAAGTCTTTCATACACAGATCAGAAAAGTGACCATTTATAAGGCACTGTAATAAGGCATTTTAAGATCCAGCAGCTCTAAGTGGCTGGCAGATTTAAAATTAAGAGTGTTTATGAATACTTTGTCTGGAGAGAGACAGATGCTTTTTGAAAATTCATCTTAAAATTGCAGCTCTCATTTGGTTCTGAGGATCAGAATGGTAAGTGGTATAGTGGAAAGATTTCTTCACTGGCTGAGAGTCAGGAATTTGTTCCTCTGTGCCTGTCACTTCATTAAATGAAGTTAGCGCTAAATGCTTCATTTGATCCAGGTTCAACATTTTTGGCAAAGGTACTTCTTGGGTGGTGCTGGGCACTTCCTGTTGCCTCACATTGGGAACACATGATGCCTGCTGTCCTGTTTTAGTGATGCTAATATGATCAGTAATGACAGCCTGGTCCCTCCAATCATAAAGCTCCTCCACCTTTAATCCAGTGATTTTACCCACTGGTGGTCATAGCCTGAATTAATTATTTCAGTAGAATGTGCAAAATGGTGATTTTTCTAGTTCTATCATTGCTTCCACGTTTGATTAGCTGAAATGCTTCTATAAAGATGAACTTTCCCTCATCAACTAGGATTATTGAGTAACTTCAAAGTACAGTTTATACAGGAAAAGCAGGATACATATTTGTTTTCTCTTAACTTTCAGAGTAAGATACTGGTGCCCTGGTTACTTCAGGGTATCTAATGAGGTTTTCTTTTCTTGTCTTTTTTTTTTTTTTTTT